ATGTTGACATGAGAGCAATATTAAATGGTCAAAAATGAAATATTCTAAGAACTCCTAGTGTCATTGGCCATGAGGAAGATTGGTGAAGGGGTGTGGAAGCTTAATGAGTTTGAAATACCAACAATTCTTACTTCTTCTCCATTGCCCCACTCAACATGAGCTTATATAATAGATTTTTCTATGATTTCTCTTCACCTCAACTGCCATTTATTATGATTACCATGATCTAAGAATTATTACGAGGACAAAGCAAATCCAACAAGACGAGCTAGTACAATAGTTCAAGAAAGTGTGGATAAACTTGATTAGTGCAAAATACTATAATTTATTCATTTTAACCACTTTTTAACCAATGGTTAAAAGCTTTAATTTGCTCCTCCTTGAGGTAAATGTTTTTATATAGCTAGCATTTGACTTAAAATACCTTAGGGAATGGTTTAATTGATTAAGTTGAGCTGGATAATGAAGTCCTAGCAATTTTGGCCTAATAAGTTAAAATTAGACTTGTTAACTAATTTTTCCAATTGTGATCAAACTAATAGGCCAAATTGAATAATTCTATTTGAAGTGGATTTTTAACATCTCAATCTAAAATCACATTCAAGGGATTAATCAAGCTTGAATAATTAATTAGGCTAAACTACATTAAAAATGAGGATTATCCATAAAGGTTAAAAAAAGAAGCACTAATCTTCTTCAATTAATTTACCATTTTAGAGAAACTATAATTTTTTTTATAGAATCCTTGGCTACAATCATATACAAGTTTTTGGCTTTATTTAGCTAACTGTTTGAGTTTAACCATTATAAAGTAGGAAGCACTTTTTAACTAGAATATTTTACTTATTTGACCCAATGTAGCCAAGCCCGAAGTCAAGGGTAGTTGACCTAGGTTGACTCATATTACATTCATTTTAAGAAAGCGCTATTTCGAATTAAATGGAGTAACATGATGTTTTGGAGCCATTTTGGCCAATTTAATCTCAAATGGTCCAATTGGTTTTATTAAGGTCAGTTAGCTCCATTGACCTTACAAAGGTTAATCTAGAGTTAAATTGTCGATTTTGTGTTTCTTGAATCATCCAAAAATTAACTTGGGACAAATTAATTATCTTTTTTTATAGCTTTTTTGGATCAAAATGGGGTTAAACACTATCAATTAAGTTGATTCCTATGCTTTAAATGTATTATCACTTTTAGTGTTAAGAGTGTGTTTGTATCCTAAAATTGAGTTATTGTATTATAGTGAATTAATTGCATTCTTTAAATGTAGGTAGTTGATCAATTTGCACAAAGAAATAATATTCAATGCTCACTCACTTGTTTATTTACCTTACCTACAACGTAGTTCCAATTGTGGTGTTATTAGCAGTAATATATAATTTGCTTACTTTTACGGAATTTTAACATATTGAGCTTAAAATCTTACAAATTATGACTATGATTTGTAAACTTGTATTATTGTATTCATATTTAATAACAATTTTTTTCTTATTCTAAAATATATGAGACAAATTTCCGTTGAATTATTTTATTATTGGTTTCATTAAATTTTAGATTGATGTATCTAGTAACAACATTGTGTTAGAATATTTACTAGTCTTTGTTATTGTTTTATGAATTTGAATTGGTGAATTTTGAAAAAAAAATCATAATAAATAATTAAATTACACACCCAATTCCTCAGCCCTGTCCACACTAATAAAGACTTATTTATAAGGCGTAATTTCATTAAATAAAAGATTCCAGTAGCACGCCTACTTAAATTTGCATGCAATTCTTCCATTAATACTAATTAGCTTTTTGAAAATTTAAGTTAATTATTTTGGATGAATAGACTTTTTTTATTTTTTAAAATGACAAGTTCTCAATTTAATATATTTTTTAAATATAACTTTCTTTAATGAGTTTAAGTGATTTAAATACTTTCATCATTTTTTTGTTTTCATCAAGCCTTAATTTTAGATGATCTTTTTCAAAGTTTATATTTTAAAACAAAAAAAAGCACTTTTGGATACTACACTTATATATTTTGAAGTGTAGCTTGTAATAGAAAATATTGAGGATATGAAGAAAAGCCAAAGAAGAATAAAAATGTAAAAGTAAAAGGGAACAAATATTAAATAAAGTTTTTGTTGAATTGGTATGAGAAGAAGAGAAGAATATATCCTTTGTTCCTTCAGTCTCTAGCACCCAAAAATAAGTTTTTTTTTTACTTCCAAAGCAAGGTTTATCTTGCTTATGAAGAATTGTATGGTAGTTCTTAAGGATTTATTTATAGCATATAAAAATATAAAAAGATAATCATTTTTTTAGTAAAAAAGTAAGGAAATTTGTAAGGCAATAAGTTAATGAGCTCATGAAAGAAAACGATTCATCGTTGTTGAAACTAAAAAAAATTAATGATAATATCCGCTTAGAAAAAGAAGTTAGTATCATGTCTGATATAATAAATAGTGATTCTTCTATGTATGATCATAGAGATTTTAATATTATAATCAATACGTTAAGATGAAACAAAAATTAGCTTAATGAAGAAAATGATTTAAATTCTTTTATTTTTTTGAAAAAGATACATGCTAGTTTAAGTCGTTTGAATGTGTAAGTTTTTTTAAAATAAATATAACTAGTTTTTCTTATGTATGCCTTATATATAATTAACTCTACTTCAGAAATCACCTTGAACATTTATGATTTAGTTTATTAACTCTACTTTAGCAATCACTTTGAACATTTAGAGTTAAAGTGTTGAGTTAGAACAACTATGTACATTTCTAATTTTTCCTCAAATGTTTGCATTCCTAAAGGTAGTTCATTTAATTTTACACCACCTAGATACTCAAACACTATTTTAGGAATACAAGTTATCGACCCAACTTGTGCGGGCACTAAAATATTAAAAAAATATTTGCGCTCAGCAGATTACCTTTATAAAGGACTCGTGAAGGCAAGTTAATGGTGTTTTGGATTTACAAATTCAACAATGAAAAATCAAAGTATGCATGATATGAGAACACATGTTGTGGTTATTTAGCCTATTCCTTACAAAATTTATTAGCTCTTACAATAGTTCAATTTTTACTTGTTAAACAAGTTGATGTTTGAAGGTTTGATGTTAGATCACTTAAACTGCATGATTTCTTACTCTAAAACAAATTCAAAATATCATTTTATAAGTTTTATAAGATTCATATTTTAGACAAGTTTCAAACTTAGCTTGCATTTATTAAAGTTGTTAGTCAAATAACTTTCATGCTAAATTATGTTTTTGACTTATGAATTATCATCATCTTTTCTTATAGAAAATAAAAAAATTGGTTTTGTTTTATAGCACATATTGGTCTTTCACTTTATTATAATTTCAAAATGATTATGTTTGCTTAATATACATATGATTTAAAATGTTCAATTCATTTAGAAATCTCATAATTTTTTAGAATCTAGGTAATGAGGATCAAGTGATACACAAAATTACCATGATCATACTTTAGGTGAGCAACCCTTGCTAACATTGACAAAACAATTGATTTTGAAGGTTGAGTGGACATAAAGGATCAATTCTAATATAACGGCAAACATTGTGTGAACTCAATCCAAAAGTGATGATAGATCTCTCGTTCTCTTTTTTCTTCTCACACCCACCTTCCAAAAAGACGAGAATCAACGAAGTAAATGCACACCCATACTATAGATTAGCCATGTAAATGATCAAGATGAGCTCTCTAGGCTCGACTCAGCATCACAGACCCAAGAAATTTTGTGTTTGTTCTACAAGAATCAGTTGAGGCTTTTTGCCAGATTAGCCAAATACATGAGCTCACTTAAGCAAGCTCAAGCTTTTTACCAGCTAATGATGAGGCAGATCTAATAGATCCAAAGGAAGCATCTGCCAAGGCTTAAGGATGACTCCATTCTCATCCAAACTGGTTTTCGCAAGCCAACCATGCTAGAACAACTGACTATGACCATTGATGCAACCCAACCAAAATTTTTCTCATCAAAATGCTCATCTTAATTATAAGTTCTCTAAAATTAGAGTTTAGACAATCTAATGGTTAATTTTAAATTTGTTATTTGAATAATAAGATTGGCACCACCACTGCCAATAAATTTAAAATAATATTTGTATTTGATTAAATTCATTTTTTGGTTATGTACCAATTACTAATAAAAATTCATGACTATAAATTAGGTTTAAACTCATAGATTATAATCTCAACGTCCGCTATCACCCATATAATTGACATTTGTTATCAACAACATTCTCATCACCATAAACTTAAACCACCATTATTACCAACAAGACTGACACCCATCATCGACACTAACAATGATGCTACTTATCATCACTAAGACTTCAATTTATCAACATCCTTATCGACCATCACCAATAACATTGATGCACAGCATCAAAGACAAGCACAAATTTTCATCAGGGCTAGAGCACCAATCTAGTTGAAAGCCAACTTTCATCATCCTCACTAAGGTCAATGTCTAACCATAGCCACTAATGCTGGTACCCGCCATCTTGGTCGCTAATTTCTCATCCTGTAAAGAGAACCAAGCAAACCACCAATCATCTCTTAATATGATTTTAACACTCAAAAGCTCTTTTTCCTTTTATCATAATACCACCTCTCATCATTCTTGTTCACTACATTGTATCGATATCTTCTCAAGGTGCGAAAAACATATACTTTATAATACAACTAAAACTAGTTGAATAATTTCAATTGAGCGAAGTCAGCTGCTTCTTTTCTTAATTTTTTTCGAACTACCCTAAATCTATGAAAAATTTTTAATTAACGCCAAGACAATAAAACTCTCCATTGTCACAAATGTTCTAATACACATCAAATATTAAAATATTTTTTCTTTTTGTGCTTTTTGTTTCTAGAACCTAACTAGTTAGAAGTAGTGCGTTGTTGTTCAGCAAAAATCAATATTACATGTACAAAAATGACATACCTGAACGGCTATAATAGAACATGAATTAGAGAGTAACAATTCATAATCAAAGCCCACTAGCACTCATAAAGATATTTGGCTGCAGTGTAATTCTCTGACTTAACAAATATCAACTTAGACCAATTATACAATAATATTTCACACTGGGTACAGGTTAAAAAAAAATAATCGCCCAAAATAGTAAGGAATAAGCATTGCTTCACCAGAAGTAAGCAATGTCTATTTCCTTGGATGAATGGAATAATTAAATTGCAGGATTTACCGTTAAATGTTCCCAGCTTCACCAGCTCTTGCTCTTATTCTTAAACTCTCAGTACGCTTACTTCTTTCCATTGCATCCACCAACCATTCAATAGCATATTTAATTCCCATCCTACAGACAATAACAATGCCGGATGTAGTCATCAATTGAAAAAATTAAGTAATTTTTAGCTATATTTCAATGAATAATATTAGTAGTCTAATCCCAAACATTTGAGCTCATTTTAATCCTTCGAGATAAACTTAACTTGTTTAATTTATCGATAAATCTCTACTCTTTATAAGCATTAAGTCAAAATTTGCTTAGCATTAGCATCAATAGAAGCTACTCTCACAATCTCTTTGAAAATAATTATTAATCTACTCTTCCTACATTCATGATTTTTTTAGGAATAATGAGCATAAAACAAAAATTTGCATTTAGAATTCATATTAAGCTAGGCATTATTTAATTTGATATTATTTTGCTTAATATGTTTAGTTGGAATAACATCTTCTTTTTGAAAGGAATGTACTGTGGGCACCGTATTCCCTTCGACTACAGGAATGTCCCTTTGTTTTGTGAAATTGTCAAGTCCAATCAACTGTGATCAGTTTTAACTCAAGTTTTCAGTTGACTTGAATCAATTTGTTAATTTTATAAAATAAATTTTAAATATTAATAAAGATTATATATTTTATGTGTGTCCATTTTAAGTTGAATCAAATTAATTGCAAAAGATCGTCTTCGGGTCAAAGCAATAGTCAATTAAGATTCAAGCAACGAACGAGTTTTGAGTTTTGAATGTAATCGTTAATTCTAAACAAGCAACGAACGAGTTTTGAGTTTTGAATGTAATCGTTAATTCTAAAGCAAGAAAACAAAGTTTTAGAAGATTTCTACACTCACCCATCATACGCCGAAACAGCTTCAAACAGGTAGAGCCTTTCACCCAACTCTTTCAGGTCTAGGTATCGAGCAAGCTCTTCGGATGACACGGCTTCAGGAATATCCTGCCATCATATACATCGACTACAGTTTGATTTGAAGTTAACTCATAAAATAATGCAAGATTCTAAAACAGCATATATTAGAAGGAAGCATGCCACCAATCATTTCAGTATTAAAAGGTGTAACAATACTTCATGATGATTGAATTAATTTTTCAAAATTACTGAAGCCATTTAATTGATACATTAAGAAATGATAATATCCAACATTGCATCTAGATTTTAAGGTTATGTTAAAACTAAGATAATGAGTGAAAAATAACAATAATGAGGAAAAAAGCGAGGGATTCGAGTCAAACATTCACTTTGAAAAACCTGTCTTTACTAGGATTAGTAGCACATGCAAAAAGTAAAAGGAATCAATGGAGGATTCAAAAAATCAAACACAAATAGTAGAATGATGATGATAAATAAGATAGGGTAATAAAAAAAATATCATTAGTTGTTGTTGTTGATGTTGTCACGTTATTTAATTAACTCTAACTTAACCAGTTGCACAATATAAACATTAAGATAATAAATATAATATCTACTTAAATCATATTATTATTCTCAATTTAGCTTTGTAATTAATATACTACAGTTTTTCCTCATATATTTTTTGTTTCTCTAGCATAATTATGAATGCTCATTAATCTGTAATATTATTTTCTAATCATTATTTTAATCCTCTTTATTATCCTTAACCAATTGAAGGTAAAATTTTTTATACTAAACCTAGTATTTAGAATTTTGTATTAATACCAAAATACTTCCTTTTTCTTCTAAATTTTGACGCCCTAAAAAAACTCTAACAAAATTTTTGCATACATTAAGCACAAGTCTAAGCTTAAGATTAACATTTTAAATATGATGTCTTTACATACCAACTACCAAATTCCTATGTATTAACATATCACCCACCCAAACCTCAATTTTTACATATAGGCCACCTTATTCATATGTTCTAGGTATATATTGGGTGGTTTGTACATAAAAATTAAAGTTTAGGTGGTTGATATTTTAATACATAGAAATTGGATGGCAGATATGTAAATCTCCCTTTAAATAATTTGTAAAATAAATTTGACTAACAAACTTCTCCTTAAGTTTCTTGAGTTGGCATACATATGTCACCACATTTATCTTCTTTTGATTTTAACATCCACGCCAAAATTCCTAAAAGTTTAACAGTAATTAGGTGATTTAAAAATCAAAGGTTTCAAAAAAAATCAACTGAAATCATTTATCTAGCATAAGAAGAGAGAATTTCCAAGATTTCGGAGTTCGAAAACCATACTCAAAAAGATTGAATCTGATTTCCTTGAATAACATTTTTAGTAATAAATAAAAGAAACTACTTAATTAATGAATAAATTTATTAACTATACCGAAATTTTAATTAAAATCTAATATAAAGTTTGATTAAGTTATAAGAAAAAGTAATCACCGCCAATTAAACTTGTTAAACAGGTGTGCTTACAGCGAAATGCATGTCGCCCTCCCCCAAATAGGCTTAATTAAGGATTCAATGACCTCGTTTGAATCGAGCAAGAAAGAAAAAGAGAAGTGAGTTAGAACAAGAGAGAGGCATAGCAAGACCAAGATAAGGTTGGCGTAGGCGTCCTTGTAGGCGAGTGCGAGCGTAGAAAAGAGTGGCACAGGCATGGCATTCCATGTGGGCGTCAATGGCAAACACAAAGGAGAAGAGCTCAATCGTGAGGAAATTAGATTTGGCTCTTTTGCGCATGATTTGAACCCAAAATAGGCTTTTCTTATTTCCTCCTTACGTGAGAGAAATGATTTCAAATTGACTTTTATTTGTTTTTTTTTTTTTTTTTTTTTGAAAAACTGAAACCCAAGGTTTTTAAATCAGCTCGTTATTGTTAAACCTAAATGAATTTTGGTGTGAAAGTTATAATTAGAAGGAGATGAAGATAAAGAAGTTTGGACATGTCTGCCAACTCATAAGCAAATGAAATTTTTTTAGCCAAATTGATTGTATATAAATTAGAATTTCATAAATACAAATCTTAAGTTAGATTTGTGCTTAATATATGCATAAATTCAGTGAGGTTTTATTAGTGTCAAAATATAGAAGGGGAAAGAGAAATTATTTTGGCATTAATACAAAATTATAAACCTTGGGTTTAGCAATATGGAAAAAATTTACCTTAAGTTGGTTAAGGGTCACTATAAGGAGACCAAGAATAATGATTAAAAATTAATAATGTAGAAACATACACCAATATGCTGAAGCCAAAAATATGAGAGAAAAATACTATATCAATTGCAATCCTAATTTGAGAATTGTAATATAATCTAATTAGGTAACAAATTTAATAGTTTAATATGTATATTGTGTAAATGGTCAAGTTGTGATTAGTTAAATAAAATGGAATTAATAATAATAAAAAATATGGAAGACGGTGTTAAACTAATTTAAGTTAAACTTTGGATTTGACACAATAAATAACAATTAAATTAGATAAGATAAAACTAAATTTATAGAGGAAACACTAATAAGAGAATAAATTTGGAAAATAATTAAAAGATATATTACATGATATAATAATTAAATAAGCATATAAATATTCAAATGTTAATAATGAGTGATTATATTTTAGATACTTCACCAAAAAAATGGTAGCTTACAAAAAAAAAAAGGACATTTAGCTATCGAAATTAAGAAGAATAATTATATTTTATTTATAATAAAAAGTAGAGGGTTGCGTTAGGTAGTCGACAGCAAACGTAAAACTTGTCGAAAAAAAATCATGACATGAATTATTTTGATCTTTGTGTAAGTGCTAGGATTTCCCCTGGAAGCAACGCGCTGTATGGCCTGAATACAGTGAAAAGTGTGCAAGGGCAGCCACATTGGGGTCCTGGTGTTGTGTCAAATAAGCAAGAGTTCTTACATTATGGGCTGATGCGGGTAAAGAAATTAGTCCATGAAACTAATGAAACTAAAATCAAGATAGAATCTTGGAATATAGGCACTCTCAATGATAAATTAATGAAATTAGTTGATATTATAATTCATAGAAAGATTAATATCTTATGTATTCAAGAAACTAAATGAGTAGGAGAAAAGACTAAGGAGATTGATAACTTAGGCTTTAAACTTTGGTCTTCTGGTAAGAGTCGCACTGGAAATGGTGTAGGTGTAATTATAGGTAAGAGTTTGAAAGATAATGTTATGAAAATTAATAAAGTTGGTGATAGAATTATTGCCCTTAAGATTATTATTGATTCTAAGATTTTTAATTTTATAAGTGCTTATGCTCCTTATATAGGGACTAAAGTTAAATTCTGGAATGACTTAGAAGACTTAATACAAATGATATCTCTTGAACAAAGAATTTTTATTGGAGCAGATTTAAATGGAAATGTTGGTAGGGTGGTAGAAGATTTCAGAAATATTCATGGCGGCTACGGTTTTAGAGTGGCGATGAAGAAGGTAAAGTCATTTTAGATTTTGCTTTAGCGTATGATTTTATTATCACTAATACTTTATTCAAAAAAAAGATGAGCATCTTATTACTTATAAGAATGGGGCTAACAAAACACAAATTGATTATTTTCTTATGAGAAGAAGAGATCGTTGAAATTGTAAAGATTGTAAGATCATTTCAAGTGAGGATTTAAGTACCCAACATCAATTATTAGTTCTAAATTTTAAGATGAAGAGTTGTAAAATAAAGAATGTTAGGACTCATCAATGTAGAATTAGATGGAGGAACCTAAAAAACACAAATAAAACTATTTTTATGAGTAAAATTCAAGATTTCAAAATTTGGGATGTTCATGAAGAAACAAATGTTATGTGAGATAAAGTCACAAACACTATTAAACAAGTAGCAAAAGATGTACTTGGAGAATCAAAAGAAAAAGTTACTATAAATAAAAATAGTTGGTTGTGGAATAATAGCGTACAAGAAAAGATAAAATATAATAAGTTATGTTATAAAAATTGGTTTAATTGTAAGTTTAGAGAACTGGGAAATATATCAAACGACTCGTAGGGAGTCTAAAAGAACAATCTGCGATACTAAAAATTCTGTTTTTAGTTATCTTTATAATAGATTATATACTAATGAGGGTGAAAAATATATGTATAAACCAGTCAAACAAAGAGAAGAAAAGTAAAGATTTAACCCAAGTAAAGTATATTAAAAATGAAATCAAAAAGTGTTTTTCATGGAAAAAAATATTGAACACATGTGTAAATTATTTTGATAAATTTTTTAATGATGTTTCTGAAAATACGATCGACCTTAGTGATCTTAATATCGTTAATAATAATAAAATGTTTCATTTTTACCGTTACATTAGTAAAAAATAAGTTGAGGAGACTTTAAAGAAAATCAAGGGTGGAAAGTCTGTAGGACCTGATGATATCCCAATTGAAGTGTGGAAATATTTAGAAGATTTGGGAGTTTCTTGGCTTACCAAACTCTTTAATATTATTTTAAAAACTAAAAAGATGTCTGAGGAGTGGAGGAAGAGCATTTTGGTTCCCATTTTTAAGACCCATTTTTAAGAATAAAGGGGATGCACAAGAGTGTGCAAATTATATAGGAATTAAGTTGATGTGTCATGCTTTAAAATTATGGGAGAGGGTAATTGAACATAGGTTAAGACGTATTACAAAGATTTCTCATAATCAATTTGGTTTTATGTAAGGCAGGTATACCATGGAAGCTATACATCTATTGAGAGGTTTGATGGAGAAGTTCAGAAATAATAAGGATGATCTACATTTGATTTTTATTGATTTAGAAAAAGCTTACGATAAGGTTCCAAGAGATGTTCTTTGGAGCGTTCTTGAGAAGAACGGTGTTGATATGACTTATATTCAAGTCATTAAAGATGTATACTAGAGTTGTTACTTGTGTTCGAACTGAAGGAGGCTTGACCAAATATTTTCCTATTTTTGTTGGTTTACATCAGGGATCGGCTTTAAGCCCGTATCTTTTTGTTTTAGTTATGTATGGTTGTACTGGACATTTACAGGAGGATGTACCTTGGTGTATGCTTTTTGTTGATGATATCCTTCTCATGGATAAGACGAAAGAAAAAGGCCAGGAAAACTTGAATTATGGAGGTCTACATTGGAGTCTAAAGGCCTTCATTTGAGTAGAACTAAAACTGAATACATTAAATGTAATTTTAGTAGCCCTTGCTTTAGTGACAGAAGTGTAACTTTGGGTGATCAAATTATTAAAAGGTGTGAAAAATTTAGATATCTCGGGTCTGTTGTTCAATGCATTGGTGATATAGATGGGGATGTTAACAGTAGAATTCAAGTTGGCTGGTTGAAATGAAGGAATGCTTCGGGCCTTTTGTGTGATAAAAAAGTACCGCTTAGACTGAAATTTTATAAGAGGGTGGTGAGACCTGCAATGCTCTATGGCGCTGAATGTTGGCCTTTAAAAGAGAAGCATAATACTAAGTTAAGTGTTGCGGAGATGAGAATGATTAGGTGGATGAGTGGTTTTACACTTAGAGACAAAATGTGAAATGAATATATCTGTGATAGGGTTGGTGTAGCTCCAGTGACGGACAAAATTAGAGAGAGCCGTCTTAGATGGCTTGGTCACATTAAACGTCGACTATCTGATGATTCGATTAGAAGAGTAGATGTTTTAGATTCGATTTATGTTAAGAAAGGCAGAGGTAGACCTAGGAAGACTTTGGCTTATTGTATAAAAAATGATCCTAATTTATTAGAGTTAAATGAAATATGACACTAAATAGGACGCAATGAAGAAAAAGGATTCATGTAGCCAACCCCATGTAGTGGGATGAAGGCTTTATTGTTGTTGTTGTTGTTGTATGGTAATTATTTTTTACTTTCTATACTAAAAAAAATGGGATGCATTTAAATATTATATGCAAAGTTTTTCATCTCTTTAAAAATTCTCTTCTTTCACTTATAAAATTCTATATTTCACATGAATATCACACTATTATATTATTTGTTTAATGCAAATTATTAATAAAAAAATGTTACATATATATAAATATATAGATGATTGCATGTGCATGTTTGAATGTTGGGTTCATCCCCTTATGAAACTGGCTGAAAAAGTAACTTATCCATGCAGGGTGTATTAAGTATTAAATCAAAATGAATTATGAAAATTTTTAACAAGAAAAATTGAACTACATGTACTCACGTTTTATTCTTTTATAGCAATTTGTTATCTACATTGTTTCACTCAAGCATAATACTTCATAATTCTAAACTTACTATAATTTAAAAAAAGGCAATTACATACAAACCACTTGAAACTTTCTATTTACAAACCAACCACCCTCTTTCAACCATTTTTCAAGTTCTAACTCAAATATCAAAATTCATGGTAAAACCTAAACCCATATTTTCATTTTTATCAAATTCTCAATAGTTTGACCATGGCACGCATAATTAAATCGGTTCAATAGTTTAAAAAAATCACCTGAGTGGTCAATTTGCAAGTATCAATGTTTCGAGTGGTCTGCATGTAATTATCCAAATTTAAAAACATAAATAGCCATTGAGTCTTTAAACTCATGAAATAATTTATTAACCTTTTTAGGTAAACCCTATTAGAAATTAAATATATGATAGAAAAAGTTCATCTGCAGATATCAGGGAGCTCTGAAAAATTGATAAAGTATTAAGTTTCTCTCATATTTTCTTAGATATGAAAAATAGTTTAAATTGGATATATTTTTTATTTTACATACTTTTGGATTCAGCTAGCTCGTTTATGCATTGAAAACTTTTTTTTTTTAAACAGAGAGAATATTTAATTAAGTAAATTTTCTTTCCATTTGACCAACAGTTCCCACCTTGGTATTCTAAACTTTCGGGTCGGGTTGTTACACTTTCAACGATCTTCAATCATGCAAGCGAGCAAAATATGGATCACATTCAATGATGATATTGAAGGGAATTGAGTTAAGAAATGGTTCTAGAAGCTTTTCTTAAATGACAAACAAATAAAAACTTCATTTGCAAATTTAAATAAGGCAAAGAGATCAAAATTTTGATGGGGAGAAAGAATGCAATTGAAAGATAGCAAGCATGATTCGGGCCATTATCAATTTATAGAAAATGAAAAGCGCAAACAAATTCTTCTTTAAAGCAACAGATCTGTCAAATACCATTACCAATCACCTGCTTATTCGCGAGTATCAAAAGAGGTGCCCCTCGCAAATCATCATGTCTAAGCACCTTTTCTGCTCAAAATTATAAGGATTTTGTTAGGAGTGCTGCCAAAAAAAAATCCCAAATATTCGCAGGTTTCTTCTCATTAAAATGCTTATTAATGCTAACCTAATGCAGACTTGGCATCCTCAAATGTTGAAGGGCAAGCAGCATCTATTACATAGACTATAGCATGTGCTTCCTCATAGTATTTCTCCCATATTGTACGCAAGCCAATCTGCCAAAAATGTTAAATTGTAAATGATCAATGCTACTTATTGTGACACAGCTGGGGTCCATAACAAAACTAAGCAGAAAAGATGCATCTTAGTCTAGAAAAAATACATCTTAGTCTAGACAAAGCAACACATCATGGTTCAGGAACACATCTCAAAACAACAATAAATTGACAACCTTCTATCAGCCATACAAAAGTTGAAATTATAACCAGAGATAAAGAAAAAAAAAAAATCAACTGTAACATTAAAAAAAAACAAACAATAGTTTTTGATGTAATTAATGTAGTTGAAAGAAGTATTTTCACTCCTGCTTTATACAGAGCTCCTTGAGAGATTTAGAGACGTTCTAGCTATGTAGATCGCAGATGATGCATCGCATTGCAACAAAACCTTATCGAAACACTGCTAGCTAATTTAAATATCACATTTAAATAAAATTCATATGCAACACTATTTTGAAATGGTTTTGCGCTCAACATTTGTCAAAGTGTATTTTAAAAGTGGCAACAGCGCATTGAATTTATAAAGAGAAACACTATGGAAAGTACAAAAGCCTAGTGATGTTAATCACTTGCCAAGGAACTCAGCCAAGGGGAGGGCATAATGCCACACAAACCTTTCTACCAAACATCATTCTATGACTTGCCAAGGCGAGCGCCTTGTCATAAGCCAGGCTAACTGATCAGGTGAGCATCTTGACTTGTATAAGAAGATGGGTGCTAATACTTAAAAAGTTAAAGATGGGTTACTTTGCCTAATGATAATTTAAAATATAGGTGCTGTGAGTTGAGTACCCACGGTGGTAACAATAAGGCAGTGCACTTGGAAACAAGTTACAAAAGCTTCAAGTTCTATGTTTATAAATCTTGATGATGAAGAAGAATGAAGAAAGCAAGGAAGAGACGGAGGACATAAATCTACAAATTGAGAAGAGTGAATGAACATGATGATGGAAAAGTTAGCAAGAAATAATAGATTACTAGTAGTTCGTGCATACTGCAAACTTAAGTAGTTATTGTTTTTTTTAACGAAAATCTATTTACCAAGAAGTTTCAATTGGACTACAACAGAAGTTGAAAATTCATAATTTTATTATACTTAAAATTAGTTATCAGTGATATAATTATTTCTGTTTTTATGACTTATTTCACTTGGGTAAACAACTAGGATGGTGCCTAACAGTTCAAGCACTGGGCAACCGTATTACATTGAAAGTGTAAAGGACTTTCACAATATTGGTCACACAATATGTAGTGGCATTCAGTCAAATATTAACATTTCTTGATTCATTTTCTCTCCTCCTTCAATCAATATAATTTTCAAACTTGCACAACTTACTCTGCCTTCATTGGCCAAACTCCTTGTGAGGTTCTCTACAGGTGCTGATGCAACTCTCGAACTTATTCTCAGATACTTGCCCAAAATAACAATTCTAATTCCTAGTGTAATTTACAATCCATTAAGCACAAAATTTTTAAACTAATTTTTATAATAATCAGAATGCATTGGATATGCACGACAGCCTTGTCCCTATTTCTAAAATGCACAACAACCTTGTAGATTTTAAGCAGGCTGAGCTTTCAATAGTTCAACATAATCCTAAAAACAAGGATATATATATATATATATATATATATATA